TCCTTCAAGGTAGTAACAACAATTCTTTCTTCAATTTTCTATATTTCTATCTCTTGCTCTATCGTCATGGCAATAGTTTGATTTTGATTGTTCTTTTCTGTGTTTACAGCAACAACCTGTGATTGCTTCTCCTACGCATTATCTTTTTCAAGTTTTTCGTGAAGGGATCACTTTTTTGGCGTGTACTCAAGTTGAAATGCCGCCTTTAATGGCTATTGAGGTGATTTTGTGTTTTATATGTGGTTTGAGATTTCTAGGGGATGGATGATGGTGTGCTTTTTTTTTTAACTATCTGATTTTTAGTTTCTTTGTAGGGTGGCTGATGTGATCAATGATTATCTTGGGGGATTGAATGAAGATTCGATTAAAGATAACTTTGTTATTGTCTATGAGGTACTACTTTCTTTGCTATATTATTAAACTTCAATGGGTAGTGTTAGACTTATATCATGAAATCATGTTATTTGCTGATATTCTTATTCCAACGAAACACTGATACAAACATGAACACCAGACATGATAATGATAGTAATTTAAGAAAATAGATGTGATTGTAATACAAAACAATGTAGGAATAGAAATGGAAGTAAACCATCAAATTCAAGCTGTGTGGCTCAAATAGCGGAAGGCTTCAAGGATTTTATGTGACTTAAAGGTATTGAAGGGAAAATTTTATTGGATAGCGGTAAACGTACGATGTTGTACGAGACAGAATTTTGGACTACTAAAATTCAGCACGAGAATAAAGTTAGTGTAGCATAGACGAGGATGTTGCGTTGGATGTGTGGTAAGACTAGACATGATAAGATTATAAATGACAATTTTAGAGAGTGTCGGGGTAGCACCTATAGTAGAAATAATAGTGGAAAATACACTTAGTGGTTTGGGTGTGTAGAGAGAAGACATGTAGATTATGTGGTAAGAAGAGTAGATGAGATGGAGAGAAGTCAAATTACTAGAGGTAGAGGAAGACCTAGAAAAACTATAAGAGAAGTTATTAAGAAATATCTTGAGATTAACGATTTGGATAGAAATATGGTTTTGAATAGAACATTATGGCGAAAGTTGATCCATGTAGCCAGCCCCACTTAGTGGAATAAGACTTGGTTGTTGTTGTAGATGTGATTGTATGTAACCACATGTGTCAGTATTGTGACGCTGATACTTATCATACATGAAACCCACCTTCAATATGAAATATCGAGGATACATAGTTTTCTTCTACTATTGACTCTTTTCCCTTGTAATGTTTGCTCTAGATATGCTGCTAGAGTGTACTCCGGCTTTTTCTTACTCCCATTGATTTGCTGTTTTGTTTAGATGTAAAATTAATCAGTTTGTTTTTGTTATTGTAGCTGCTGGATGAAATGATAGACAATGGGTTCCCACTAACTACAGAACCTAATATCCTGCAAGAGATGATAGCTCCACCAAATATTGTTAGCAAAGTTTTGAGTGTTGTGACTGGCAACAGCTCCAATGTGAGCGACACACTTCCTGGTAGTACAGCATCCTGTGTTCCTTGGAGAACGGCCGATCCTAAGTATGCCAATAATGAAGTTTATGTAGACCTTGTCGAACAAATGGATGCAACAATAAACAGGTATATATTCCCGAATATGCCTTTTCTTATCTTTCGCTTCTTGATATTCTTAAGGTTGAAAACTTTTTATGTTGGACATATTATCCAGTAGGACGTATTATTGTGACTTGTTAAGATTGAAAACTTTTTCTATGATAGGTTACTTATAACCTACTGGCGTATATTCCCTTCATGTCACTCATTAACTTGCAAACACATGTCTCCCTAAAGTTTTTAAGTCTTATACACACTAAATTTCCAATTAAGCTTATTGGCAAAGATGTAGCCAGGTTAAGTCATTCATGGGGCACAACTAATATCGGCATTAAATTTTTTTATAGTGTTTTTTAATTAACACAACTTCATTTTTAACAAAGAAAAGAGTTGAATAAACTGTGTGATCTTATGGTTTCTTTTCTTTTCTGTTTTCCCTCTCAAGCCTTTTGCTGGCAAGCTGAACAGGATTTTACTAAAATTTCAAGTTTGAACTTGTGGAACTTTATATGGCTGAACTCTTATGAAGGATTGTCTTGACTCCTCCTTAGTACTTTGTATCTTATGCACCATTTCTTTGTTAGCTAAAAAAATTGTACATTCAGGGATGGTGTTCTAGTGAAATGTGAGATTAATGGCGAGGTTCAAGTAAACTCCCACATCACAGGTCAACCTGATTTAACTATTTCATTTGTGAATCCTTCAATCCTTGATGATGTGAGGTTCCATCCCTGTGTTAGATTTCGGCCTTGGGAATCCAATCAAATTCTATCATTTGTGCCTCCTGATGGACAATTTAAGCTAATGAATTACAGGTACTATGTCCTGCTATATTTGGTGTCTAACTTAGAATTTAAAACCATTATTTGAGAAGTCAAATTGGAAAAACATATATTTGTGTGTTGAAAGTTAAATCTGTTTCACGGTATTTCTGAAATTCAGTTTTCTTAAAATTTCGGGCATTGCACTTTTTTTTTCAGAGTTAGGAAATTGAAGAGCACCCCGATATATGTAAAGCCACAGTTGACTTCAGATGGTGGGACATGCCGTCTTAGTGTAATGGTTGGCATGAGAAACGATCCTGGAAAGACAGTTGACTCAGTTAACGTTCAGTTTCAGCTTCCTCCTTGCATCTTATCTGCTGATCTGACTTCAACTCATGGAACAGTAAACATTCTTTCTAACAAGGTACTATTAAGAAGCGATATCTCTGCATGTTTTTTTATCGGTTGTTTTAACCAGTAAGTCTAGAGAGTCAGATGAAATTCCATGTTCTATTTTCACATTGTAATTTGAAGCTTTCTTACATCTTGTTCTATCAGACATGCACTTGGTCCATTGGTCGGATCCCAAAGGATAAATCCCCTTCAATGACTGGAACACTAGTGCTCGAGACTGGAATGGAACGCCTTCACATCTTTCCTACATTTCAAGTGGATTTTAGGATTATGGGTGTCGCCCTCTCTGGTCTGCAAATAGACAAATTGGATCTGAAGACTGTACCTTACCGTTTCTACAAAGGCTTTCGAGCTCTTACCCGAGCAGGTGAATTTGAAGTCAGGTCATAGTTTTGCATGACAGTTAAGTCATCTGAAACTTGTCTTGATTCTGGACATGAAATTTGGTTGCACGTACATGGTTCAATTTGCAATGTAAGTTGATATGTTTTATTGTGGTTCCAACTTCCAAATTGCTTTATTACTGATTGAACCATGACCTGGTTACCTGAATTATCACGGTTTTCTGAGAGTCATGACACTTGTGTATTTTGAATTCATTGACTATTGGCATTAGTGGAAACTAGTGATTTTAGGCTTTGAATGCAAATTAGATTTTTGACATTTAACACCATCGGTTGTGCATCTATTACTCTACATGGATATGCTCCAGAACCATAACTGCCCAGTTTCCGTTTCCCTTTATATAGATGAATGATATGTCTCAATTTAAAATATAAACATATGAAATTAAAAACTGAAAATAAGCATTTTTTGTTTAAAACAAAAACAAAAAAAGAACAATGAATCACATGGATTCTGTTCTCCTGAAAGCCAATATTCACTCTGTCCAAAACAAATCACGATTGTCGTCTCTTCGAATTGCTGTGTCGCTGCTTTGTTGGCTCTCTGGTGATGTTGCCTGTATTCCATTGAAGTGTCTTTGAATATTGTTGTTGGGAAAAGATTTGAGAATTTCTTTTAAGCTTTAAAATTGAAGATGGGTTTGGTTGTTGTGCGAGATTGTTGTTTTAAAAATTGCATAGCATTCTTGGAAAAAAATCCGGGAAACTTAAAAAAGGAAAAATGTGTTTCCTCTTCTCTCTTTTACATAGGAAACATTTTTGCTCGTTCATCTTAGTCATGCCGACCCAATGTGCTGACCCAATCTTTGCCGCATCGACTCAATGTGATGTTCCAATCTTTGCTGTGTCGACCCAATGTGCTGACCCAATCTTTGTCGTGTCGACCCAATGTGCTGACCCAATCTTTGCCGTGTCTCAATGTACTGATTGAATCTTTGCCGTGTCAACCCAATCTTCACCATGTCGATCCAATGTGTTGACCCAATCTTTGACGTGTCGACCCAATGTGTCGACCTAATCTTCACAATGTTGACCCAATCTTCACCATGTCATTCAATTTGTTGATCCAACCCAATCCTTGCCGGGTCAACTCGATGTGCTGAGCAATCTTTTTCGTGCTGATCTAATCCCTTCTCCATTTCTCCAATTCCTCTTTGCTGACTTGCCAACCCACCGCCTCGCCGTCGCGGTGTCTCTTCTGTGTCAACATTTTCTTCTCCTTTTCAATTAGAAGATTGTTAGATGGAAATTTGATGCTGTAATCAGGAAAAATATAATGCAATTTTAAGCAGTGTAATTATAAGGTTATGCATGTATTAAGTTTCTACCATGTTTGAGAATGATCTGTTTTTATAAGAGGTGTTTCTATTTTGCCATTAGCTTTTGTTCTTCTTGTTACTACTGGCTTTGTTTTGCCATTAAAATCAATGCAAACGAACCAAATCCTGTATTTTTGTTTTTGTTGTCAACTAGTAATCTTTTGTTGTTAATGCTATAACCACAATTTAAATTGATCTGCTATAAATTTTTTGTTATAATCACAAATAACAGTTCTGCTATACAGATTCTGCTATAATCACAATAAAAATTCTGCTATAATAACAATTGGTGATTTGCATTCAAAGATTTCTAAAAGACAGCTTTCTCAAGAAAGTCGCCTCATGTTTACCTTGATAAGGGTATGCTTTATAAGGTTAGATTCAATAATAATTTGAATTATAAGTTCTTATAACAAAACAGATCAAGAATGAAATGAATGAATCTTTCTCATTACCAGCTCAACCAACTCATCAAAAACACATACAAGATCATACAACATCTTGATTCCTCGACATTCCAGTTCTAACGAAGAATCTTATTCGCTCGAAACGACTCCATAACTCGACGAAGCTCATTCTCTTCCTCCAAAAACACATTTTCTGGCACCTGTAACCTCAACTCATACAGTTGATTGTTCTCAACTCCCAGAACAGACAAGTACCTCCTATCCCATTCCAACCGAACCACCCTGTCTTGTGGCATAACAGCAAGCTCATTGTTACTGGCATAGGACTTTATATTCGCCTACCAACACAAACAACAATTAACCAACCTCATTAATCACACACTATAAACACAATTACCCACAAATTTAAACATAATTAACCATATTTTTCCAATAAATGTTTTTTTTCCAAGTAGCCTAGTGGTTAGAATTTCACCAGTGGGATGTAGTAAGTTTGAACTAGCACCCCTGAAATGTGATGTACCTGCACAACTAGGCTGATTTAACAAGAGTTTTCAGGTAGTAAATGTTAACTAACCTCAACTTGATAGTACAATTTACCATCATCAGCAACTCTAGAAGTAGTGTTAAGAATACTAGACTCACGTTTAACACCAATTCTAGTAGACATAAACTCAGTAAGATATTGACCAAGAACTTTCTTCCCAGCTTCTTCCGGCGGACCCAAATCTTCCACAGTCTTGAATTTCGAAGACGAAGGTGAAGAAACTTCAACCGAAATATTCTCATCAAGAATATAAGGATCCCTGAAGAAAATATCAGCACCAGCACCTCGAACTTGAATCCAATTAGATGGGTAGTTAAACGAATAGCCATCAAATGAATCTACATATTCTCGGAACCTACGAGGTTGTTGTTGTTGTTGAGCTAATGTTGTACCAATGTCGGAGAGAATGTAAGTTGAGAAGATTAAGGATATTGCTTTTCTCCTCGGAACTGTAAAAGCTTTAGCCTGATTATATATTAGCATAGAGAAAAAACAAAGATATGGAAGAGAAAGATCTGAAATTGAAGTTTACCGAATTGGGTGTGGGAATGGAACAACGAGGGGAATGGAAGTGGAACGGTGTTAGAAAACTTGTCGTTGTGATTGTGTTGGCCATTGTGATTTGCAGAGTAAAGGGAAATGGATAGAATGGAAGGAACAAGAACCAGCGGAGGAGCATCAACCGCACGCACGCCACAATGTGATTTGTTCCATCTCAGTCTATTTTTGTTTCTTTTTAATTACTTTTTTACCCCCTTCTTTAATCAATTCAATTTTTTTAAAGAATTAAACAAATTTTATTTAAGGAAAAAAATCTGACTTTCATTTTTTTAGATGGCAACTGTGTTTTTTTTAAATATTTTAAATTTGAGATTTTTTTGCACTTATATACCATAGAGACGATTAAATACCTATATATCCCCCCCCTTCTAATTATATTAATAAGTACTCCTACATCTCTTTTAATATTTTATTATTATTCATTTCAAATATCTTTTTCTTTTTATCTAGATTTTCCTTTTTTAAAATAAAAATATTTTTTAATTTTGTTAATATTAATTAAACTGTTTTTGGGCCATTCGCGAGACTCAAAGGAGCTGAAGTCCAAATAGCGATGAAGGACGATGCTTGACATAGAATAAGTGTGCTCATTTTCTCCGTGAGGCTGGTGAAACTCTTTTGCGAGTCTTTTCTTAGTCGTCCAGATTGATCTGACAACTAACCGTATCTCGTATCCTATCATATGAATTTAGTTAATAACTAACTCTCATATTTAAAGAAGATATCAAACCATTTTTAAGTATTCAAATTCTTTCTTAATCAAGCTTCATTTCTCACTCTTTTAATTACTTGAGCATTGGAGTGTTAATCTTGTAGGTAATCTCCATCTCGATTTAACTGAATCGCCTCAGGTAGAAATCTATATCTCCTTCCATCAAAGTGTGGATCTCTATTTCTTGATCAATTACGCCAAGTTCAGGTTCATATCCTTCAATGTCGACAACTTCTAAAGCCAATAACAAGTTGATGCAACCGTTGAAATTGTCAGGAATTCCTCGTCTCCTCCCCACGAGATAAAAGATTGAGTCTTAACAATTACTCCTTTTGTTCTTCCACCTTAAATATCTGTCTAACCTAGAGTAGATAAAGAAGTGTCGCAACCTCCCCCATTTACCAAATCTACACAACATTTCCACCTAGGCAAACCTCCATTCAGACCTGTACTGCCACCTGCATTAATCAGACAAGAAACACTCCCTAACTTTCAACTCTTGCAAGCTAATCTTGGTTTGCAAGGAGCCAATGAACTGTTAGAAAATATCTATCAAATGGTTCAGCAACAAAATTCCCAAGCCTCGGTGGAAAGGCTAACTCAGATTGAAGAAATTTTGCACAACGCCAATCCTAAAAACAACACTATGCAAGAGGTGGCTTTGCACAAAATCGCCATTCCTGAGAAGAGAAAGGATCCAAAAGAGGTCTATAAATCTCCAAGCCTTTAACAAAACATGTACCATACTCATTCTCTTGATCCTGAAGGAAAGAGAGGTAGACACACTCCTTCCAAAGTCCTTCGTTTTAAGAGGAGGAAAATGTATGAAGAATATGTTCCCGTCCAACTTGTGAATAAGAATATGGTATCCGTTTACATCTTGGACAGTAGAATCCCAAAATCACTCGAGAAGCCTCTCAAGCTCCAGAGTTACAACAAAACTGAAGATCCGGACTAGCACATTGAGCATGTAGATGATCAGTTGCACTATCACTACACCAAATTAGGCGTGAAGTGCAAGTTCTTTGCATTAAACCTAACTGAATCAGTTTTAGCTTGGTACAAGTCTCTTCTGGATGAAAGCATATATTTCTAGTCTGACCTATGTGAGACTTTCACTGCTAGGAAAGATAACCAAATACCATGGATGTACTCAGTAGAGTCTCCTAGGGTAAGAAAGAAATTATATATATATATATATATATATATATATATATATATATATATATATATATATATATATATATATATATATATATATATATATATATATATATATATATATTAAAATTTTCACCAAGGTGGAGTAAACTGTTGGAGGCTCAGATGAGAGCCTGAAATGCTAGATTTTTGAAAATGGCCTCAAATCAAACTGTGTGTTTTGTGAAGAGTTAGGGCATTATAAGGCCCACAATCAGAAGGATATTTTGAGTCGGACAAAATCCTACATCAACTACGAAGAAAACTTCTTACTAACAGATGCAATTAGGCGCCAAAGAATGTCGGATCTAGCCGACCATCAAACAAAGACTGTGGGTGGTCCAAAGAAGAAAGTGATTGCGGATTCTACATAAGGTATGGCACATACACTCCTTTAAACATATCACGAAAGAGGATCTTGAAAGAATGTGCCAACACGGGGTTCAAGAAGGTTGGGATAAGGAACCTATATTCAACCAGGGAGCCTACACAAACGGATAAGTCAAAATATTATCATTTTCACAAGAGTCGCAACCACAAAACCAATGATTGCAACCAATTGAATGATGAAATTGAAGAGCTAATAAAAATGGATACTTTTTTAGTATACCAAGGATGGAAAATGGACCTAAAGGACTCTCTTAAGAAGAAATAATCCCATAAAAAATATTGTCGAAGTAAGACATAGGGAATAAGAGGAAGCACCAGTATATCTCTTCAATAACAGGAGGCATCCCGAGAGAAAGAAATGTTTCTAAGAGTACAATGAAAAGAAAGATCGTCGAACTGACAACCGTTAGCAAGAAGGAAAGAAGCACTTGAGATGTGAACATGGAAAAATCAATCCTCGATTTATAGGATAACGATAAGATTAGGAGGATCCCAAATGAAAATTTTCTTTTGGTAATGTAACACCTCAATTTTTATTTACTAATTATTTTATTAGTTATTTATTTTATTAATTGTTATATAATATAATAATTAATTAAATAGTGTGATTTTGTGAAAATGTGAGTTATTTGAATTAATTGGTGATGTGTGATATATGATTTATTTTATTAATTAAGAATATGTGTTATATGAGTAATTGAGATATTGGATGTGAAAATATAATTATTAATTGATTGGTCCTTATATGTCACATTAGTGTGAGTGAGTGAGATAAACTCATTTGAGAAAAACAATAGTTATAAGAGCCAGTAAGACAAAGAGAATAGAAGTTAGAAAGAGAAAGTGAAGAAAACCAAGAGAAGAGAAAAATAGGAGAAAAGAGAAAAAAGAGAAGAGAAGAGGGAAGAATCCTAAATAATCTACATCCAAGGTAAGGGTGAGTTTTCATTTGATAATGAGATAATATAATGTATGTAATGGGTAGAATATGTGATTTAGGAATTTAGATTTCAATTTCTAGGTTTTGACATACTTAGGTTTTGAATGAGAATTAATGAAATTGGTGTTAGAAATGTATGCAAATGTTGTTGATGATGTGAGTGAATGGGTAAATGAAATTGGAACTTGAATATGTAATGTTTCATGAAATTCTTAAGTTTTGAAATTGTTAGGTTTTGATGAATAAATTCTTGAATATGATGAGTAATGGTGTTGTAATCATGTGTGTTGATGGTAATGAGATTTTGGGGTTTGAATATGCAATGTTTCATGAAATTTGGGGTTTTGGAATTGGGATGAAAGAGATTTTCGTACAACTACTATTGATTTCCATCAATTCTGGCTGTAATTTTTGTAAAACTTTCATAACTAAAGCTTCGGGTGTCCATTTGACGCACCGTTTGAACCTGAGGAAAGCTAATATACTGTAATTTCTTGTAAAAATGTTTTCATGTTTTGGAAATAAACTTAATTGGTGTTTAATGGGGTTTTGTGGTGTCAGTGTATGATGTCAGTGTTTGTGTTTTCGTTGGAACTTAAAAAATTCATAACTTTTGAACTGTAACTCGTTTGAGTCTCCATTCGAAGGTTAGAAATCTAACGCGGTATTATTTTCAATAAAATGGTATTACTAGTAATAGATGATTTACTTACTGTTTGGTTGTGTAAAATGGCATGTATTTGTATGTTGTGTTGTTGTAATATGGTGATGTTGTATTATTGTTTTTGATTATAACATGACGAGTTGATAACATGTTCGGTGAATGGTGATACCATAATATTATGTTGTGCGGTATGCATAATATGTTATTATAGTGTGTTGAGTTGATCAATGCTATGAGAATGTTATGAACGTGATACTTGAATTTTGTGTAGATGTATATTGTGAATTGATGATAAATGAGGATAATATGTTTTAGAAATTGTTGCTATGTGTTATTGTGGTGTGTTAAGTTGATAAATGCTATGAGTATGTGAATATTGACATGATGTATGTGTGTTGTGCAATTTGGTGAGATAATTCAAATGTGTTGTATTATGTGAAATATGCTTGTATGATTAAGATTTGGAGATGATCTTAATTGCATATATATATATATATATATATATATATATATATATATATATATATATATATATATATATATATATATATATATATATATATATATATATATATATATATATATATATATATATATATATATATATATATATATATATATATATATATATATATATATATATATATATTGAGATTGTACATGACTCATGAGTTGTCAAGAGGCAATGTTATCTAGCCTTTGCGAGAGTTAGTGACGTATCCCAAACCTTTGAGATGAGTTTGAAGCTTAGGGAACAATCTTATTTTTTTAATGGTTATCTGACTTGGAGATGGACCCGGTGGTACTAGTAAGGATAACAATTGGTACCACATGTATATTGCATAGACTTGCATTGGAGTCACATGTGACGATGTGAAATGTTGATTTGGTGTCTAATATGTGATATTGGTGTGAATGTTATATTTGTGATATTGGTGATTGATTTTTTTTTAATCATGAATCGTTGAACAATGTTGTATATGTGAATATTTGAGTAGTGTTAGAAAATGTTAAATACATGAATATGTGGAGTGTGATGAATTCAATTGTTGTTTGTATGTGATGCATTACTTATTATTATATATTTCTATAATGATGTGAATTCTCATCTTTCTGTTGGAATGATGTTTTTATACAACATCGCTCAGG